AAGTAAAATACATTTAACTTATAAATAAGGAACTGAGCTTCTGATTTGCTATATGAATCGTTAACTCTGAATATGCTCATCTCTGACCAGTTTTTCATCAGTATAAATTAGGATAGTATCACTGACTTTCAACTATCCCTACTTCCAATTCTTTCACAAAAATATGCATTTTCAATACATACTTTATGTTCAGTGAGGAAAGTAGTATTTGTTTTAGCATTCGTATGTATGTAGTTGTAGCACTTATGCAAGAAAAAAATAGGTCTAAGAAAATCCCATACTAAACCTGTAACTCTCAATTCAGTTAACTCTTTTATTTTGACATATTCCTGCAATTTCTTCCTTTCCTTTCTTCTTACTGCAAGGCCCTCCTTGGTCTATATTTTTGCTTAACAATTACTGGAGCTGTAAAAATACAAAGTTGCAATAGCATATTTTCTCTAATGAAAAGTAGGCATTTTCTCCCAACAAGAGGATCTCACCACTCATACCATCATTTATTTTGAGATAACTGACAAAAATAATAATTTAACTATTCATCCTTGTTGACTGTGCACAACCTTCAAAATTCAATAGCAAACCATGGATCCATAACTGGAACACACTCCCTGAACAGCTCACTATTGGGATTAATTGCATTAACAGACTTCATTTAGAAGGATTTGGGAATGTTTTTACAAGGTTTAGAACGGATTTCATTAGGATTACATGATGTGCAATTCTGAGTGTGCTTAACCCTTCACACAGAACTGTCTAAGCAACCACAGATGATGTCACCCACAATGTATTAATTCTTATCCAAGATTTTGTCACCATAAAGAGAATGCCTTTACAGTTCACTGCATACTTCCATCAATATGAAGAAGAAAAGCTATTTCAGTACTGACATGTGTTACTGGATTAGAAGAACAGGGTATGTTTGTCTTCTGCACATTTCTGTTCGGTTGCCTTCAGAGAAATATAAATCTAGTATTTGAGTTAAATACTCCAGTTAGAGAATTGGCAAAAAAAAAAATCAAATGGCAAAAACTGATGAACCTATCCAAAGCTTTGTCAATTCCAATTTTAACATATGTACTTAAGTACCAATATTCTAGGAATAACTCATTAATCCAAAGGAGAAAATGTGTATCAAACGAAGAATTAAAGCAAATGGATATTGGTAGTTCTACATTTGCAAAAATTAATTTTATGTCAAATTAATTTGACGTCAAATGTCCTGCAGCATGAGCTGACACAAAAGGCAGAGAATTAGGTTTCTGGTACAAGCTTTGGAAAGCAGAACCCCCCAAAAAGGGATGTAAACTTTCCCTAGTTCTAGGAAACCAAAAATTTTAAAGAGAAATGTTCAAGTATCTTTTTTTTAGTGAGATCATAACTGCAATAATATACAAAATATGTCAGCGAAAATGCAAATGTCCAGTTCTGAGCACACTGTTGTTCTATTGAACACTAATATCTGAATGTGCATATTGCAAAAGCATGAAACACCCAGAAACAGTGCCTGAGAACACCACTGGGACATGTAACTGGGGCAGCTGTGCACACAGCCTGTAACAACAGGGAACAAATATATGACCATTAATTTGCTCAATTACAGTTTTAAAAATAGATTTTACCTTTCACTATGGGTGACTTGCCACTAATTTAAATATCTACCATCACACTGGAATAGAATGATCTGATTCTGTTGACATAATAGCAGACAAGTGAAAAATAGTCTAATATTAAATGTCTACTATAGAGGGATTTATTTTCTTTTTTGTCTTTTAAATCTGAACATTTAATTACCCGTGGGGGAGATTATGTCTTGTGGCCAGTGAATTTTTCAAAGTCAAAATGTAGTGTGGACAACTAATGGAAGAATTATGTGCCACAAAATGTTATATTCTAATAAAAAATTCTAATAAAAAAACCCAAAGCTTTTATTTAGTATGCAATCCATCAGCCTCCTTTTAACCTCTCTCCCCTTCATTGTAAGGGAAAAAGTTTTTCTTATATACTTTTCTTAATGCGAAGAAACTATCACTGAACACTTTTATGGAATAGTCATGGACCACGGTTTATATCTAGCTAGAGTTCAGCATGTGGAGGTACCAAACTAAATGCAAAAGATGAGTTATTGCAGAATCTCAATGAAAACTAATTTGTTTATATGAGTGAAAAAAGAGAAAAAGAACCTTTTAAAAGGTTAGTATTGGAGTTTTAGATATATTTACACAATTAGATGCAGAATGTAAGCCCAAACTGCTGTAGTACACTGCACAAACCATCTATTGTAGGATGTCCACTTATAATGTTTATCATGAAATGCACTGTTTTTGATAGCCAACTAACTGGAACTATTCTTACCTGTGGATTCATGTGTGAATGCATCCGTATGACTTATGCACATGCTTTTAAGTAGCCAATTTATTCACTGCCTTTTGGGGCAAAAATGTTGACTTCATAGGAAATCAGAAGCATTTTATTCTGGTCTGAATAGGTCTAAATATTCAAGACATGAAACTTGATAAAAGCCTGTATGTGGTCTGTTTACATAAGTAGCTGTGATCTGAGAGATTCAGGCCAGAGTGCGTATATCCCTGGAGGTGGGACAAAGGAAATGAGCTCTTATATTCTATCTGCAAGTACTAGTGTCCTCTAATTACAGTTTACTATTCTTACCTCAAATGCAGCAGTAAAAAGAACTTCTGTAAACAGGCATGGATGACCTCCAAAACCTATTGGGTATTTTATCTACTGAGGCTGAATTTCCAACTGTGCACAAAGTGAGTCTCTCAAACCAACGTACTTACCCAGCGTGTTTCAAACACTAAAATGTGTCTGATAGCAAGTGAATTATGTATCTGGGGACACTGGAAGTTCACACTTAAAACAACAGAAATAAAGTGTTTTCCCACACAACAAGGCCTGCTGCTTAACATTCACCTGGTATCAGCTCCCATCCATCAGGACGGTCCTCTACGCTCAGCGATCAAGTCGTGATGAGCGGCTCGGGACTGGCAAAAAAAAATGAAAGGTGGCATGTCACCTCCCCCATGGCTATGGACGAGGAAAAGGCTTATCCCTCTCCGCTCCCCTCTCTTCCACCCACGATAGGGCCCCACCGGCCCCAGGTCCCCCGCGCCTCCCCCACATCGTGCCGCT